TTAGACCTCGCCATCCCTGGGGGGCTGCGATCTGTGAAACTGTCGCCACTTTCGAAGCCTGCTGGGGGGCCCAGCGGAGTGACGCCCTACGGGGATTCAGATTAGACCTCGCCATCCCTGGGGGGGCTGCGATCTGTGAAACTGCTCCACTTTCGAGGCTGCTGGGGGGCCCAGCGGAGTGACGCCCTACGGGGATTCAGATTAGACCTCGCCATCCCTGGGGGGCTGCGATCTGTGAAACTGTCGCCACTTTCGAGGGATGCTGGGGGGCCCAGCGGAGCGACGCCCTACGGGGACTCAGATTAGACCTCGCCATCCCTGGGGGGCTGCGATCTGTGAAACTGTCGCCACTTTCGAGGGCTGCTGGGGGGCCCAGCGGAGTGACGCCCTACGGGGATTCAGACTAGACCTCGCCATTCCTGGGGGGCTGCGATCTGTGAAATTGTCGCCACTTTCGAGGGCTGCTGGGGGGCCCAGCGGAGTGACGCCCCACGGGGATTCAGATTAGACCTCGCCATCCCTGGGGGGCTGCGATCTATGAAACTGTCGCCACTTTCGAAGGCTGCGTGGGGGGCCCAGCGGAGTGACGCCCTACGGGGACTCAGATTAGACCTCGCCATCCCTGGGGGGCTGCGATCCGTGAAACTGTCGCCACTTTCCAAGGCTGCTGGGGGGGCCAGCACAGTGGGCACCCACGGCGGATTCAAATGGGACCTCGCCATCCCTGGGGGGCTGCGATCTGTGAAACTGTCGCCACTTTCGAGGGCTGCTGGGGGGCCCAGCACAGTGGGCACCCACGGCGGATTCAAATAGGGACCTCGCCATCCCTGGGGGGCTGCGATCTGTGAAACTGTCGCCACTTTCGAGGCTGCTGGGGGGCCCAGCACAGTGGGTACCCACGGCGGATTCAAATAAGACCTCGCCATTCCTGGGGGGCTGCGATCTGTGAAACTGTCGCCACTTTCGAGGGCTGCTGGGGGGCCCAGCACAGTGGGTACTCACGGAGGATTCAAATTAGACCTCGCCATCCCTGGGGGGCTGCGATCTGTGAAACTGTCGCCACTTTCGAGGCTGCTGGGGGGCCCAGCACAGTGACTGGCGGATTCAAATTAGACCTCGCCATCCCTGGGGGGCTGCGATCTGTGAAACTGTCGCCACTTTCGAGGGCTGCTGGGGGGCCCAGCACAGTGGGTACCCATGGCGGATTCAAATGGGACCTCGCCATCCCTGGGGGGCTGCGATCTGTGAAACTGTCGCCACTTTCGAGGGCTGCTGGGGGGCCCAGCACAGTGGGGACTCACGGTTGATTTAAATTAGACCTCGCCATCCTTGGGGGGCTGCGATCTGTGAAACTGCAGCCACTTTCGAGGCTTGCTGGGGGGGCCAGCACAGTGGGCACTCACGGCGGATTCAAAGGCTGCTGGGGGCTGCGATCTGTGAAGGTGTCGCCACTTTCGAGGGCTGCTGAGGGGCCCAGCACATTGGGTACTCACCGCAGATTCAAATGGGACCTCGCCATCCCTGGGGGGTTGCGATCTGTGAAACTGTCGCCACTTTCGAGGGCTGCTGGGGGGCCCAACACAGTGGGTACTCACCGCAGACTCAAATGGGACCTCGCCATCCCTGGGGGCTGCGATCTGTGAAACTGTCGCCGCTTTCGAGAGCTGCTGAGGGGCCCAGCACAGTGGGTACTCACCGCAGACTCAAATGGGACCTCGCCATCCCTGGGGGGCTGCGATCTATGAAACTGTCGCCACCTTCGAGGGTTGCTGATGGGGCCCAGCACAGTGGGCTTCCCGCACGTCTTTCTCCTGCTCTTCGCTCCCGTCTCCCCGTGTCCTCTTCGAGCCTGTAGCTGTTGCCCCTCTTTCTTGTATGGTTCTCCTGCGCATCATGCCATAGGCGCGTGTCCCAAGTAGCTTACATATCAAACAACGGATCCTGCAATTTGATTGTCCATGCAAGTTTCGGTCAACTCCTCGTTTCCCATGATACAAATGGGTTGGGTACGTCACAGGGAAATTTATAGGTTTTCGTCTCCCCCCCCACTTCCCATAGTTTCCCATCTTTTCAGGGGAATCGATGGTTAATTCTGTCTGTGTGTTTGCCCCTCCTGACTCACATCCGCCAGAGCGCTCTGCCGCCGAGGAGGGCCAGAGGGGCGGGCGGCCTGCCGCGGCAGAGGGGCCCCAGCGCCAGTGGATGTCCACGGCATGGCGATTTTCGGAAATCCGGAACCCAAGAGCGTTCTCCTCCCCTGGGGGCGCATCTGCAGCTTCCGCCGCCTTCTGCCGGCCTTCCGCCGGCGGAGGCGGCCTCGTTCTACTTCCGCCGCCCTTGCGCCGCCTGCCACGGCGGAAGAAGCGACAACTCCTTCGATCCTGGAAGGCCAGGCCATTCTTGGAACGCCCCAGCTGGCGTCACGACTCGGGGTGCGCGCGCACGCAAGCAGCGCGCGGGAGACGTCCGCCTCGGTGCTGGGATGCGCGCCGCAGCAGGGCAGGACCCGCGGCGCGTCCTCCCCCTCCACGACTGGCAGCGGCCTGTGGCCTATCACCCGACGCATCGCCCCAAACCTGACATACAGGTTCCCTGCGCTATCATCATGCATGTCCTGCTGCACGGGTCACTGCAAGATCGGCATGGCACTGCGACATGGTTGCTCCAGACATGCTGGTAGCTGGCTGGTCGCCACATCCACGGACGGCTGATCATAGGCGCTCAAGGCAGGCAATGCAACCTTTTGCCAGCAACACCGCAACGGAGATTTGCTAGACGCTGGGGCAGATCTGGCTGCAACGACCTCCTCTGTAAAGCCCTCGTGAAGGGTGGTGTCTGGAAAGAGCTCGTTCGGCATCCTGGTCATGATCTGGCCCGCCGCGCGCCACTTGTAAGTCGCCAGCGACGCATAGGCGCGGAATGTCCCTTCGGGGGGCCCGAAGTCTTGCGCGGACCATGATCACCTGTCATAGCATGAGTGTGCCCCGCGTCAGGTCCTACCGTCCTTGGAGGCGGGACAGGGTCCAGTTCAGCCGAGGCCACGCCTGTAGCCACCCACATCCTGCCCTGGCCCAGTAAGCTTGCAAGCTGGCGAGTCCGGACTCATTAGCTGGAACTGCAGAAAATACTACTGCGCCTGACAACAATGCTGGCGCGCTTCGTATCAACAGCTGGGCGGCCTGACCACTCACTGGGGAACCGTCTGCTCCTGCTGCCTGGTGGAGCCCATCAAGCGGGGAGATGCCCCATGACTAGGATAGAAATTGCGTTGGAGATGACTCACCGCTTTGCGTCTAGAATGATTACAAGCACCTTGTGTGCCCTAATAAAATCGACCCCCATTGCAAGACCATGCTCTCGAAGGTCCCGGGCCCGCACTTGAAGCCAGCCCTGTGCTTCTGAGCATACGTCACCGTGGCAGAGGGGGCGGACTGGTCCAGGACGGCTCTGCTGCCCGGACAGACGGGTAAACTGCCACACCGTCGTCAATGTAGCAACATGTCCAACCTATGGAGCCCTGTGCATTCGACGGCCGCGAGGCGGTCTAATAGAGATGGTAGTTGCCGCAAAACCTCCGCCGCAGCCACAGCAGGACAACCAATGTTCCTCTCTGCAAGGGCCACCTGCCGAGACACTTGCTGCGCTTTCGCTTTGGTCGCTCCGGGTCCAGCTCCGGTCTCAGCAGGTAACATGGCTGGGCACCGCGCGTTGGCCTCAACCATGCCTGCTCGGGTCCACGGTGGCGTCCTTGCTCGTGCCCCTCTTGGGCACGCCGTCTCTTCCCCGTCTCGCATGTCACGGAGGAGGGCATTGAACGCCGGACAAAAATATGCGCTCTCATGGCGTGCCACATGCCAGGGCAAACGTCAAGTCGGGAAGCCCATGCAACTCTAAAACCTGTGTGTGTCCTAATGCGAAACGTCGTCGGACCAAAACCAAGCGAGCCCGCACACGCCTGCCGGAAGCCTCCCCTGCTACATCTAATTTCACTTGAAGGTCGACATAATTGGTTGACGATGCAGAAATACGAGTTCACTTCTCCAAGGACGACTACGTCGACCTGACTGTCGCTGCAGAGCTCCTGGGTAATTACCTTGGAGACGCCTTCCTTTCCACAATGCGCCACGTAATGGGGAAGTCCGAGCATATGCTCATGGGCTGGAGGCTACTGGTGCAGCCACCAATGCGTGGGCCTGATTTGTTCCTGGGCTCGTATCTCTGCGATGTCTGGGCGAACTTTTCCGCAATGGCTACAAAGAGGACGCGACGCGCATGAGTCGGAATAGTTTGGCCAGGCAAGAAATCCCGCTTCTGCCAGCCAGGACACAGACGCCAGGCTTGTTGTAGCGCAGCCAGGGGAGGGAAAGGAGGGAGGAGGAGGAGGAGGAGGAGGAGGATGGGAAGGATGTGCAGCAGGAGCAATCGAGGCTGTGGCTCTACGGCAGCACGCGCCGAAGCGAAGGGCGCCTAGACCCCCCCACACAGGACGGCTTCGAAACGATGCCGGAGTTCAGACGAGCAGCTGAAAAGGCAGCCTGGGGCTGCCCACGGGGTGACTTTCCAGAAGGAGGAGGACGAGAGGAGGAGGAGGAGGAGGAGGAGGAGAAGGAGGAGGAGGAGGAGGGTGCGTCTCCCTCCAGGAGAGCGACCCACGTCGAATGAAACGTTTCCTGTCATCCTGGGTACAGGGAGGCACGTCCCTGCCCTAGACGAACCGTCGACAGGCGGGGTCATGTCGCATGAACGCATGGTCCAGGAACTGGTGGCCGATTTGTTCGCACTGTGCGCAGGATACTTGCCCGCATAACCAAGCTTCTGTATTTGCAATGAGGGTGTGAAGTCCGAGGAAGAGGAACAACAACATGCGCTATACTGGAGGACGCGCCCTCCACGACTACTAACACATTCCCTTGCACTGCAGAGGAGATCACTCGCAACATCTCCTCCTCCTCCTTTTCCTCCTCCTCGCGCCATGGTAATAAGAAGGGGGACAGGCGGGCCTTATCATCCCCTCTTCTAGCCGTCTTCTGCGCTGGCCACAGGAC